GCATCTCCTGGTTGGTGAGGTCGGGCGCCAGGGACTTGAGCCGGGCTGCCCCATCGCCCAGCGCCAGGTCACGGTCCTTGGCGTTGAACTGCTGCAACTCCTTGAGCACCTTCTGGGCCTGCTCCTGCACCTGCTGCCGCAGCTCCTTGGCCACCCGACTTGCCCGACGGTCGGACTCGATGCCCCCGAGGAGCGCCTCGTCGCTCCCGCGGCCGCCACGCAACTGGTACTGGGACTTGCGCGGCTCCTGAGATATAGGATATGCATCCATCGTACCTGCTGCGTGCCCGCCATCCCCTTTCTTGCTTTTGACGCCTGGCTGGCTTCTCCCTGTCAGCGGTACCTACCTTGGCTTTGGAGTAGGGACCCGTCGGCCCTGTGCCGCCGCGTTTGTTCGAATCCTGCAGTGCCAACACACACACCCACACACGCATGTGTCAATGCCCGCATGCATTCACATCCTGCTGCCCCTTTCATACCGCATTAATTACCTTGGGCATCCTGTCCCGACAAGTCTTCGACAACCCTCAACGGATACGGACGTACGGTTACGTCCTGTCCTTTTCTTTTTCCTCCCCTCTCTCACATGCGAGCTTGAGGAAGCAGTTTCACAGAAGGATGCGATCCACCCATCCTGTCCAATAATGCCATGAGATGCTGTAGACCCATCCTGTACCTTGATCTGTCCATAATCTGTCCATGATCTGTCGATGATCTCTGTTTGCACCCGCAAGGTGAGCCTCACCTGGCTCATTCTAGCTAGGGCCCGGGAGGGCGGGCTGTGTAGTCTATGAGTGAGTGCATGGGATGGGTGCGTGCCTGTCCGCACCGAGGCGAGGGCGAGGGCGAGAGGGAGGGGGAGGGGGAGGGTGCAGAGGGGCGGGACAAAAAGGAAGGGGAGGAGGAAGACAAAGGCGACGATGAACTGCAGTAGATCGTGCCACAATGCTTTCGTGTACGTACATGTACAACTCTCACGGATTGCCAAACAGTCACAGCTCTCTGCAGTCTTGTTGTCTCCCGCTTCTGATTGATTGATTCACACACGCTGCATATCGTGAATCAACGATGATGAGTGACACTGGCGGCGTCGCTGCCGACCAGCAGCAGCAGCAGCAGCAGGGTCGTGTGGCGCTGGTGTCGCCACGCAGACAGCACGGCAAGATCAAGACCAACCTGCTCAATCTCAACTACACCTTCAAAGGTAACCACACACGTGCACGGCAGAGACATTAGACCGACAAGCAACGTGTCCATGTCTGTGTGTGATTTGTGTGTTGGATGCAGTGTTGGGTGCTGGCAACGCGTGTGACTTTGTGCTGCTCAAGAACGACGATCATCCATACGACATAAGATTCGCCATCGTCGCGTCACACGACATCAAGTGAAGGAGTGAACTAACACAGAGAGACACACACACAGCGTGGATGCCTGTCTCACTCTCTCACTGTGTGTGTGTCAGTGTTGGCAACGTCGAGAAGAACATCGCCCGCGTCACGTCTCCCGAGATGTGCAGAGGAACCAATGCGTCAGTGACACACACACAGAGAGAGATACACAGAATCCGCGCGTCTGTCTGTCGAGTGTGTGTGTCTTTGTCAGGTCGTATGTGCTGTGTCTGTTGAGTGCGTCTGAGTTTCACACATTCCAGACGGCACTCGCCGAGACGCCACTCGCCAAGCTGCCCAACCCAATCCCAGTCAGAGATGAGCACGACGCCACACAGAGGATGCTCTCACTCGCCAGTCCCGCTGTAAGACGGCACAACACATTGACATCCACCATCCACTGATGTGTCTGCGTGTGTGTGTGTGTGTCAGCCGTTGCTGCCCTCTGTGATTCGCGACATTCCGCCGTCTCAGTCCGTGCTGCAGCATCTGCTGGATGGCCATCTGTCGAGCGGTGCGCTCGTGTGTCGGTTCCTCTCTCACATCGGCGGGCTGCGTGCCATCGATATCGACAGCCTGCTGCACCTTGGCAGCCTCCAGACCATCGCGCAGTCGAGTGCGAGGGAGACACTCATCAACAAGACGGCACTCGACAGTGACAAAGCCAAGAAGGCAAGAGCAGGATGATGGACACTGAGAGGGGGAGGGAGATGCACCTCTGTATGTGTTGTGTGTATGTGTGTGTGTGTACCAAGCAGGTCGAGACATTCATGGGCAGCATACCGTTCATCGACGACACGGAGGACAGCCAAGAGCAGCAGCAGCAGCAGCAGCCACACGACGGCATGAACACTTGAACATAAATGCGTGGATGCCAAAGACAGAGAGACCGACTGTGATGGATGATGCGGATTGAATCGCTGACCGACACACAGATTGCTTGGCTTGCTGGTCAGTTAGGGGGATTGGATTGAATCATCAATATGGATCATTCATTGTCCATCAATATGAATGACATGGTCAAATAACGCGCGACATGCAGGTCATTCATGTCAACCGATCCATTGATTCCACGAAGGCGATGATCGATACGATACACATACGGTATGGTCGGTCAGTTCTATTCACACCACACATCAATCAGTAAGAGTGAGTCAGAGCCAGTCAGTCAGTCAGTGTCATCCTCGTCCGATCCGCCGCACCCCACCGCCTTGGCCCACAGGTCGAGCTTCCGTTTCCGCTCAGCAGCCACAGCCTCATCCCTCTCCACCTTCCGCCTCGCCCTCTCCGCCCTCGTCTCGCAACCTCCTCCATTACAATGCCCTTCGCCTTTCCCTCGCCCCCGCCCATTGTCATCCTCTCCACCTGCGGCAGCAGACGGCACGTCGCCCTTCTCTGTCTTCCTTCTCTTGGCCTTGCGGTGGCCGTTGGTGTCTGTCTCGTCGAGTGACAGCTGGTCCGGGGTGAGTGTGTCGATGAGGGCCTTGTGCGGCTCCAGGAAGGAGAGGTAGCGGTGGACGTTCTTGCGTGTGACCTGGTGGTGCTGGTGCTGGTCAGAGGGGTCGGGCAATGTCCTTATCAGCGCTGCCAGTGTGGTGGCAAGCCGCCGCCCGGCATTCATGAGCGGCACCTCGGCCACACCCAGCCACCGGCACGCCTCGCGGCAGGTGTCAGTTCTCTTGTCGTGGGCAGCCTGCACACACAACACAACACACAGCATGCGGGATGGCATCAGCATCAGACAGACAGAGACTGCGTGTGCAAAGGCTTACTTGAAGGTCTTTGTGTCCTGGTACGGTGTTGACGGGCAGCAGCAGTAGGTGCCGGGCGACAAGGGTGATGACGCTCGCAGCCTGCACGCGACGAGTGGACGTCTGTCTGGTAGTCGCCTGCAGTGAATGAAGCACAGACAGAGCCAATCCAGTGCAGAGGCCCCAAGAAAGAAAGCTATGCATGTGTGTACTTGCTCTTCTCACCCAGCAGAATTTGTCGGCGAGGTCAGCCACCCACTCGGCCATTTCCTCGAACCGCTGCCATTTGTCCAGCTCCTCCTTGTCCAACAAGTCGCTGGTCGGCACCACCAGGCCGTCTCCCTCGTCCCCCTCGTGCTCTGCATGGCCCTCTCCATCCACAGTCCCTCTCTTGAGCCGCCTGGCCGCTTTCCTCTTCTTGCGCGAGTTGACGGTGTCGTCGACGACCGAGAAGGTGTCAAGCGTGTCAAACTGGAGGAGCAGATCAGCCCCGCCGTCACCGCCTCCGTCTTGCCCGCTCGCTGCCTCTGCAATCTTCTGCCGCTCTTGGTCCCGCTTCTCTGAGGCCGCTTGGTGTGTCTGGTGTGGGAAGAGGACCCGCTGGCGCGCCAGGAGGAATCGCCGGGTGTATGTGAGGATGAGCTGATGGGTGAAGGCGGCCAGACGCAGCCGGGGAAGGGGGAGGGAGGTGGCCCGGCAGATCCTGCGAACCGTCTCGGTCAAGCTGGCCGGATCCACCGACATACGATCCTGATAATGCACACACACATTCGCACATAGTAGACAGACGACCGACCATCTGAGTGTGTGGTGTCCCTTCCCTGACTCCCTCCCTCCCTCTCTCCCTTGTCCCCTTGCTTACCGTGACGTCATCGGCGGTAGCCACATTGTCTCTGTTCATCCGCATGGCACAGTAGACACACGCCACGGCAATCAGCTCGGCGTTGTTGGGATTGCCGACACGAATGCGGGGGACGGCCTGGCGGTAGGAGGCGAAAATGTCGATGGCCTGCGCTGCCTTGCCGGGACACAGCACCTGCGAAATGCTCTCTATCCTCGACTCAACGCCTTTCTGCAATCCCACACACACACACGCACGCCCACACACCCACCCACACAGCGAGAGAGAGAGAGAGAGAGAGAGCACGGGCGCATAGAAGGGAGGGCGACAGCTGTCTGTTCATGTCTATTACAGGTCTGTGTGTGTGTGTGGTCGGTTGCTTACGAATGTGTCGTTTCTCCTCTCCCGTGCATCTCTCCACCTGACGTTGGCCATGGCTCTGGCGGCAGCGGTGCCGGCGTTGCCCCTGCTGCCGGGGAAGCGGTGCCACACGAACTGCTTGCCCGCATCCCACGTGTCCTCCTCCCAGTCCAGCTCATACGTCATCGTCTGCTCAACAGCCGGCGCAGCAGCTGATGCTGAGCGGGTCCTGTGGTTGCCGCTGCTGCCGGTGGCGCCATTGACAAGCACCTGGCCGCACGACTGACACACCTTTCCCGTGCCCAGCTGTGTTTCGAAGTCATTGCCGCCGCAGTGGGGACAGGTCAGGACACTATCTGCGGATGAACGACCTGCTCCACTGAGATGGACGAATACGGCCATCGCCTCCGTGAGGCCTCGTCAGCGAGGCTTCAGTAAGCGGGGCTTCTCAGGACTCGACAAAACAGATGAGCCTCTCCTTCTCTCGCCGATTTGCACCTCAAGAGCTTTCCACGTCGCAGAATCCCGCAGTGGTCACCCGTGGACGCGAGCTCAGAATCTGAGCGAGCTTCGCTGTTTTGAATCGCTTCTTGCGTCCGTATGGGCAGCGTTGACCTGAGCATACAGGCCAGCGCAAACATGATTGAGCCGCCTCCGCAATCCGGCGCAGACAGCCCGTCCAATGTGCCGTCGTTCATCACACACGGCATCAGTGACGGCAGCCCTGCGAGTTCGATGATGCGCCGTAGCAGCCGCGACTCAGCTGAGGCGATGGGTTTCGGCGAGGCCAGCATGCCACCGCCATCTGCGCAGATGAGCATGGCACCGTCGGTGGCGCCAAGCAAGTACGGCGGATGTCAGAGCGAGGCCCTCAAGGAATTCGTCAACCGCAAGGCCAAGGAGGTGGGCATGGCATGCAGTCGATTGACATACAGACAAGGGAGAGCACCTCAACCCATCTTTGCCTGTGGTTGGCATGTGTGTGCAGGTGTTCAGTCACTTGACGCCTCAGACGGTGTTGGTACTCGAAGAGAGCGAGACGCTCCTCAGGTTTTGCGAACTCATCCACGACAGACGGTCAGCCAGCCAGTCAGCCAGCCATTCAAGATCTGCGAAGACTCGTGTCGGTGTGTATGTGTGTGTGGCTGCAGGCTGCGGAGTGCGGTGGTTCGTCACGACAATGTGCATCGGTGTTGCTGCCGACGAGTCAGCTACTCTTTCATCGACGTGCGGGTACGCATCTACGTCCTGCATGCATTGCAATGCATTGGAAGGGGACCAGCAGAGCGGTGTGCGTATGTGCCCGTGTGGTTGCTTGGTTGGCAGGATGTGAGCTATCACATCATCAGGATGAAGAAGAACTGGAAGAACAAGGTCGGTCGGTCATTCGGAAAGGAACGAAGGGAGGGATCGGCGGTCGAGTCGAGCGCTCTGTGTTGTGTGTATTGTGTGTGCAGTCCTTCAGTGAGATCTTGGAAATGTGCAAGAGCACTACTGTCGGATCCATCGCGAGTAAGACACACACACACACACACACACAGCAAGCATAAGCATAGGTCCATGCATGTGTGGCTCTGATGTGTCCAGATGCGTCCGGTCGCACCCCGTTCATCCCATATGACATCAACGACAGCGTGGCCAGGCTGTGCTCCGCATTCAAAAACTGCGCCAGGGTGTAAGCAGTGAATACGACAGACACACACAGAGAGAGGGAGGAAGGGGCGGCGCATCCCGTCATGCGTCCCTCTGTCTGTGTGTCTGTGTGATGTATCTTTCTGTCAGTGCCGTGTTTGAGGACAAGGAGATAGTGCGGGTCTTCAGCCCCGTCGACATGCTCACTCTCCTGCAGGTGTGTGTGTATGTGTGTATGTGCCACATCATTCATGCCACACTCACTCACCATACATCGATCCATCCATCGATCTGTCCATCTTCGTCCACTGTTTGTGTTGTTTGTATGTGTGGGTCCATCCGTGACTGCAGAAGCTCGACTTGGTCAAGGAGTTCGAGCCCAAGCAGGTGAGGTGACCGGCAGTACTCACAAGTTGGTTTCCTGATGGAGATCTGTCCGCCTGTGTGTGAATGTGTTGTCATTCGTCCATCAGAGGCAGCAGGTGTTGCAGGGCAGCAAGGAGAAGGTGGTCACCATCATGGAGACCGAGACGCTTCTCAAGGTGATTACGCACACACACACAAGACACCCAGCCGGCACTGCACCCTCCCCCTCTGTCTGTCTGTCTGTCTGTCTGTCTGTGTAGGCGTTGCACATGATGGAGCGTCACAGCTATTCGGCTGTGCCCATTGTGGCCGAGAATGACTTCAGCAAAGTCAGGGAGGTCATCACTGTCAGAGATATGAAGGTGAGGAAGACAGGACGGGCAGGAGGGACAAGGGAGGGTGAGAAGCATCTGGAATGAATGCCTTCTCTTGGTGTGTCTTCCTCTGGTCAGTACTTGTTCTTGGCGAGTGACTCCCTGCCCTCCAAGGACATTCTCAACTCACCAGCCGTGAGCGGAGCGACGGCCAGGCAGCCAGCCAGCCACGGCCGTGCTCACGCATCTCTCTCTCTCTCCCCTTCTCTCTCCCTCTCTTTCTCTCTCTCAGCTGGAGTACGTCAACTTCGTGCGGCAGCCGGGGCGCAGGGTACCCACACACAAGGACGGCAGGCATCAAGGCCCTTCCCCTGACCACACCCGTCTGTGTGTGTGTGTGTGTCTTCCATCCACCACAGCCCGACCCCCCCTACGCGACGATGCCCGAGATCAGCGAGCTTGAGGACGTGTTTGATCGGTTCGTGGCGACCAAGATCCACCGCATATTCTTGACCGACAAGAGGGGCAGGATGTCGGGCATGATCAGCCTCACCTCTGTCAGGTGGGTCGGTGGGTGGCTGGGTGGCACGTGGGTGAAACGACGAAAAGGCATGTTGTGTGCGTCTGTGGTCGTTTGCTCCAGCCGTTCACTGGCTGACATCTTGGGGCACACCTTCCACCACCGGGGCGTGTCCATTCTGTCCAAGAGACCGCTGCCGCAAGTCAAGGATCTCACCCATGGCCCCTCTGCAGGTGCTTCGGAAGCGACCAGCCGCACCTGATGGGATGGAGAGAGGGAGGGACAATCGGGCGGGGTGGCTATGCCGCGCCTTTTTTTCTTTTTTACTTTTCTCTCATTCTCTTCTCTTCGTTATTCCCTCCTTCCCGCTTTCTTTCTCTCGACGTCATCGTGGTGCCATCCTTACCGATGGCTCGCGGGTACGTATGTATGGATGAAGGCGTGTGTGGATGCACACACGCGTGTGTATGGCGATTACTTACAGGGAGGGCCGGGTGTATCGGGATGTGGTGTATAGTACAGACCATAGCATAGTCGGTCAGTGCTGAATGTCGGTGGGTGGGTGGGTGGGTGGGTGCGCTTTAATATTGGCCAATGCGGTGGTGATGTCAAGGGGCTGCAATGCATGTCAAGGGGAGAGGGGGGCGTGTGTCCCTTTTTCGCCTTTACGTGTAATTGCGGCATCGGCGTGCGGGCATATGATCACGACACATGAATGAATGATATACGCGTTTTGACCACAATGATGTGAGGTGATGTGTGTATGTTGTTCCTTCCCTCCCTCCCTCCCTCCCGCCCTATGTGTGTGTATTTTTTCCATCTGCCCTGTCGGCTGTCTGTGTTGCGTTTGCGGCGGCAGGGCGGACAACAAGCCGACAGACAGACAGACAATTGTCGCGCCCCGTGTGCACGTGAGTGTCGTGGCTGCGTGAGTGGTGGCATATAGCACTTATAGCTAGCCTTCTTTCTTGCCTTTCTTGCTCAGTGAACGGCTGACATTTTCATATATATCACATTGCCGGCATCTGTCCGTCTGTGTGTACACATGAAGGACGCACGAATGTATTTCTCTATCTCCGTCTCAAGCTATCTGTACACAGACGTGTGAGTAACCACAACCACCATGACACGCATCACTCGTCATCCTCCTCCAGCCGACTGAGCGCCAGGCTGGGAAACCAGTAGAGAGCCTCACCACCCTGCACACAAACCACCCACCCACCATACACACGCAGGAAAATGATGAGCGCAGGTAGCAACACGCATTCAGGGTGTCTTCTTCTTTCTCACCTCCTCTGCTGTGACTTGTGTGTCGACCCACACAAGACCCTCACGCAAAAACACCATCTGCAGACACGACGCGCAGACAGACAAGGAGAGAGGGAAGAGTGTGTGTGCCCCGGGCCACAAGGGCCCCATTCAATCCATGTGAGCACACATGGCGCCCAGTATATCCAGGACAGACAACGAGTGCACTGCTCTAGCACCGCTGAAATGCCCTCCACACCCACTGCCCATGACGACGCACGCCACCCGACGACGGGAGGGAACAAGACGATGCATTCATGCCATGGCATGCACAGCACACCGAGCCACCAACACACATGCACAGGTACAATCGACTTACCAGGACAGCCATGCTTCGCTCCTTGGTCCAGGCGAAGGCCTCGTTGAGCTGCCGACAGCTCACATGTCCCTTCTCCTGATCAGCAAACCCACCCACAGCGGGAGGGAGATGCCAATGGCTGTCTGTGCTTGTGCGTTTTTGTGTGTACGTGTGCGAGGTCAAGCACGATGGTTTGATCGGGGTTGAGCTCGTCGGGGAGGGAAAGGATGGTCGTCTTGCCGCGACGCTGCACACACACCCACAAGTCGACGAGGGATGATGAGTCACATATAGCGTGGAGTCGACTGCTTGCCTTCATGACGGTGATCCCTCCGTGGCCCAGGACTGCCACACGCTCGATGGCCCGCTCGATGTCACCCCTACATGGACACACACATGTATCAGACACACTCAATCAGCGGACTGACCGCCTCCTTCTTACTCGTCGATGGGAGGTGCCAAGTTGCCTCGCAGACGCCGCACACGGTGACAACACTCCGACAACTGACACACACGCCGATAACCCAAGAAAACAAGGAACAATGGTTCGCGTGTGGAGGGGTGAGTGTATGGGTGTTGCTGACCTCAAGGATGCCTCCGTTTTGCGGCCGGGTGGCCATGCAGATGGTCAGCACTTGCACCTGAATGAATGACACACACAGGCGGATGCATGAGCTGAACGCACATGTGTGCTTAACAGGGCCATCAGCCGACTCGACTCACTCCCAGTTCAGAGTAGAAGTTGCCGACTCCCAAAAGACGAGACCAGAAGCCGCGACTCGCTGATGAGTGACCGAACAACACGCACAACAGCACAATGAATGAATGAATGAACGGGATGCGCAGAACCCGCCACCACTCTCTCTCACGAGTGCGTTCGTACAAATGAGAGGGTCCACGCCGATTGCGGCGCACATCTCGCAGAACTTCTGCCGAAAGACCGGGTCTTTGTTGATTCGGTCCCGGTGCTTTAGTGCGAACTCCTGCAGCTTCAGCCGGAAGGAATCAAAGTGTTCTCGGGCCTGCGCCACACGCGTGGCCGTCAGCTGCGAAGCGACCGCCTCAAAACGAGTCTGAAATGAATGAATGAAACACACAAGCAAACACAACATCACTCACTGTGTACCCATCCGCAGTCAGTGGATCTGAGCTCACGTCGCGTTCTTTTTCTCTTGCAAAACGCGCCGCGCCAACTCCACGCCTCATGGCCGCGGTTGAGAGCAGTGGCGCAAACCACTGCGGGCGGTTTCACGGAAACCCGAACGGTGACGGTCTGCGCGCGCGTGCGCGTGTACAATAGGCCTGTGCGGTGTGTGTCCATCGACATGCACGTGTATACGGGGACGAAACAAGCGCATTGATGACTGCCTGATGCCCTATGCGATGGATTGTCACAACACTGCCTGTCTGTCTGGCAGTGTTAAGGTCATGTCTGGAACACCCCACACAAATGATTTCAATGCACCAGTCCAAACCACCACCCCAATGCGTGCATCATGCCATCAGCCGGACAACATTCCCACGTGTGCCCCGCCCCAGCTCCTTGAGCGAGCTGCCCGCCCCGCCCCGCCCCACATCCCCGTACCCATCCTACAGGCCCTCACTCTCCCTCGTCGGCTGGGACGTCCCACGGGCCAAAGTCATACATGTACTGGATGGCATCGACGTACCCGAGTCCCTTAAGGCGGCCCGCCCTCGGAACCACACCCACCCGCTCGAACCCCAGACTGTCCCACAACCTGTTCAACATACACGGACACCCAGACAAGGAGCGAGCGAGGGAGGGAGGGAGGGAGGATGACACAGACGATGGATGGATGGATGCGAGTGGGCACCTACCTGATTGACGCTTCGTTTGAGGCAAAGACGAGATTGAAGAAGGAGGCCCGATAGCCTGCAGTCCGCACACATCACATACATGGACACACATCGGCCCCTGCTCACGCGAACTAGCCCATCATGCGGATTGTGTACCCAATGCTGGTGCCAGTTTCAGGAAGCACTCGGCCATGAACCTGCCGATTCCCCGACCCCTGTAGGGACGGTCGACGAGGAATCCCCCATTGCAAATGTGTGAACTGACAACCCAGCCACACACACCCACCAAGCAGAATCGATGAGTCTGTTCGGGGTGCGCAGACGTACCATCTTCCCGGCCAGTTGGGTTTGATGTAGAAGCTGCCGACCACGGTGCCAGCAAGAGAATCACTCGACGTGATGCGGCACACAAACACGTCATGGGAGAGGCTGCACACAACCACATCGATGTCATTGAATAAATTGCTCAAACAAATCATCCTTCCAGCACTACCCACTGCCCCTTACTAGTAGGCTTCGAAGGTCTCTGCGTCCATCGGCCCCTCATACGGGTACGAACTGACACAAAAAATGCGAGGAGCACGACAGAGAGAGAGAGATCCAGTTGGCTTTGTTTGCTCACTCGCCGTCGTCGAGCGCATCGTTGAACATTCGGTGGACATCACTGAAGTTGCCATCGCTGAACCAGTCGACCTCGACTGTCGTGGCGCCGTCTTTCAGCACACCGGTCAGCGGCAAGCTGGAGCAGTGGAGGGATGAGCCAGACACACGAAGAGAGGCGTGTGTAGATGCGATGCGATGCGATGAGTGATCTGGCTTGCTTTGCCCACATCTTGATGTCATCCTTGCATCTTTCCTTCTTTGGAAAAACGTACGCCATCTCTCTCTGCTTCGACTGTTTCCTCGTCGTACTCAGGGGTTGAAGGGTTTGGACCCTATTGCATTTTTGCGTGAAACACAAGGTACTTCCTCAAGCTCGCATGTGAGAAAAAGGAGGAGGAAAAAGAAAAGGAGGAGTTGTTGAGGTGTTGAGAGTTGCCGGACCAGTGGACGGACGTAACCGTACGTATACCTGTTGAGACTTGTCGTTGACTTGTCGTTTAATTGTCACATCCATCATTCTCGTCGGGACAGGATGCCCAAGGTAAGGAGGTATGAAAGGGCAAGCAGCAGGACGGGACGTGAATGCATGCGGGCATTGACACATGGGTGTGTGGGTGTGGGTGTTGGCACTGCAGGACTCGAACAAACGCGGCGGCACAGGGCCGACGGGTCCCTACTCCAAAGCCAAGGTAGGTACCGCTGACAGGGAGAAGCCAGCCAGGCGTCAAAAGAAAGAAAGGGGATGGCGGGCACGCAGCAGGGCCATACGGACGATGCATGTATGCATCTCAGGAGCCGCGCAAGTCCCAGTACCAGTTGCGTGGCGGCCGCGGGAGCGATGACTTTCTGCTGGCGGGCATCGAGTCCGACCGTCGGGCAAGTCGGGTGGCCAAGGAGCTGCGGCAGCAGTTGCAGGAGCAGGCCCAGAAGGTGCTCAAGGAGTTGCAGCAGTCCAACGCCAAGGACCGTGACCTGGCGCTGGGCGATGGGGCAGCCCGGCTCAAGTCCCTGGCGCCCGACCTCACCAACCAGGAGATGCAAGACGGCCACATGATGCCCCAGTACCCCTCCCTCACCCTCGCACACGGACAAGCCGTAAGTCAGCGAAGAGAAAAAGAGAGAGGGCGGGTTTAGGAGGGAGAGATGCGTGTGGTCGTGTCATGTGGGTGGTGTCTGTCAACTCAACAGGACAAGTATGCCGTGTCTGTGGAGTTTCTGAGCAACTGCGGCGACGCCTTCAAGGAGTTGCACGGCTACACCGTGGATCGCATCTTCGACGGCTGCAGCCGCATGTGTGTGTGCAAGGAGGCCCTGCCGCTGGCGGTGCGGCTCCTCGACTACTACATACACACACGTGAGTGGAGTGAGCCATACTGACCACACGAATGACACACCGCACCACAGTCACCGCACATAGCCACACACGTCTGTCTTAATTAATTGCCTCCCTCGTGTGTGTGTGTGTCATTCGTTCGTGTCGATCAGTGTGGGCCAAGGGAGAGAATGTGTTCCACCACAACCTCGTGGCGGTAAGTATGTTGGTACCATGTTGGTACCAACATACACACACAGCACTGCATTTACTCACAGAACGCACAATCACTCACACACATATGGGTGTTGTTTATGTGTTGTTTGTGTCATCCATCCATCCACTTAATTACTGTACTGCCACCAGGTGGGTCACACTGCCACCAGGTGGGTTACACGTGTTTGCTGATAGCGTCCAAGTACGAGGAGCGTGAGCCGGTGGTCATCAACGACCTGGTCACCCTCATGAACGAGGTGCCCATGGACAAGAGGGACCGCACCTATACGCGCATCGACTTCCTCAGGATCGAACAGCACATCCTCATGTAAGTGGATACACACACATCACATCCACACACGTGGGAAGAGCCAGCCCTTTCTCCCTGTCTCTCTCATTATTCAACCGACCGACGTATGTGTGTGGTGTGTGTTGCCTTGTGTGGTGTTTAGGACCACCGGGATGGAGTTGCCAAGCTCAACCTACTGTGCGTTCAGCGACCGGTTCGCCAAGGCGGGCGGCATCCCTCCGGACACTAAGGACCACGCATTCGTGCAGTTCCTCCAGGTGCGTAAACACGCACACAGACATACAGACATACAGACGGATGGATGGATGGATGGACGGATGTGGTGTGTGCATCTTACGTACCTGCCATCCATGGGGTCTCTCTCTCTCTCTCTGTGTGTGTGCAGGAGTTGGCGTTGACGGACTACACATTCTCTCAATACAAATCCAACATCATCTCGGTCCGTCCAATTGAGCCGCACACACGCCATCCATGCAACACACACCCGACATCCATCCATCCATTTATCCATCCATCCCTTTGTCAGGCTACGGCGGTGTACATGACCCGCAAGATGTGGCTGCTCCGGGAAGGACAGCCCCGACACGGAGAGCCCAGCTGGGTCAGTCAGTGAGTGAGGCGATGGGAGGGGGGCCACACATTAACCGACACACAGGACACGACACGTGTGTGTGTGTGTGTGTGTGCGCCTGTGCTTGCCTTCCTCTTTCTTGTGTGTGCAGACGGAGGCGTTGAAGCGTGTGACGGGGGTGCAAAAGTCTCAGCTGACTTCCTGCAGGGACGAGATGGCCAGGCTCCTCCGATCTCTGAACAGGCCGCACATAGCCATTGTACGTACGCCAAACCTCACACAGCACAGCACCTGCAGTGCAATGACTGAATGAGTGAATGGATGGCCCCACTACACTCGCTGCCCCTCTGTGTGTGCATCTGTGTGTGTGTGTGTGGTTGGTGGCTGGTGGCTGTAGGGCAAGCAGGACGCCTGCATTGCCAAGTGGTCGACGCCGGCCAACTACAACATCGCTTCGGTCTTCTACGACTGATTGCCCCACCCATAAACACACATACACATACCTCCACACCATGTGAGTGAGCCAACGCCCCCCACCCCAGGCCACCGCCCCCCCGCCTGGCCCACACACTCACACCGTCTTGTGTTGTGTTGTGTTGTGCCGCGTGCAGATGGATGCGATAGATACATACGGGTAGCTAAGCTGCCAACGTCCGTCTGTCCGTCTGTCTGGCTGGCTGGCTGGTTGGTTGGCTGATTCTTCCCCCACCCCCACAGCCCACCCGCCCCCGTGACCAACTCAAGCCAACCACACACACACAGAGACACACAGAGAGGGGCTGGGAGGGAGGAATGGAGGCTCGTCCTTCTGCCTGCCTGCATGTATGTCTGTCTGTATGGCGTGCAAATGTCTGTATGTATGTCTGTCTGACTGCTGGGCAAATGACTCACCGCCGCCACCCATCCATCCATCCAGGACCGACCCACTGTAGCCACAAGATGACACGACCCTCTCTCTCTCTCTCTGTGCCTGTTTGTTTTGACCTCCCACGACAGGCAGGCACCCACACACGCAAAGCCAGGCAGACACAACACACAGGAGGGCGGGAGGCAGGAAGGAGTGAGTGGAGGAGTAGCTGACTGAATTCATGCCACCCAGCGAGTGGACTGGACGGAGGGGCCGGCAGGGCCCTCCCTGCAGGAAAGACAAGGAAAAGACAGCAAAGGGACGAATATATGTGGCGGCAGACTGCATGCGGGTTCTCGGTCATTCAGCGGCTCACGAGAAGCGCACCCAATCGCGTGGCATCGTGAGCTGCCCGATCGACGAACAAGCACCCACCTCACTCATCTCTCTGTGTTACTCTCGCCCTCCCTCCCTCTTTCTGCCTGCCTGCCTGCCTGCCTGCCTGCCTGCCGGAGTTGGTTGATGGCGGTGCATGCCGCGTTTGTCTGGTGAGTGCCCATTGTGTGCCGTGCGTGTCGACACACACAGCTGTCTGTCTGTCCGTCTGTCTGTCTGTCTCGGCTGATGGATGAGTTCAAGTGCTTGTTAATTCAGTGAGTGACGTGTGTGCGGTTGGTGTCCGTCCGTCTGTCTGCACACATTCATTTATGATCTTAATTGTCATGTGTGTGCTGTGTGTGCTGCCAATCGCTGGCTGGCTGACCGATTGATCGATTTGTCGATGGCCTTTCTTTCTTTGTCCGTCTGTCTGTCTGTGATTTATGTCTGTCGTTCGTGTAGTGAGTGAGTCGAGTACCCGGCCGTTTTACTGTCCGCTGTTTTCGTCCGTGTCGATGGATTTATGTATGTATGTGAGGGGAACGGTCTGTCTGTCTGTCTGTCTGTCGTGTTTTTCGGTCGGCTATTGTCTTAGTTTAATTTCGGTCTGTGTGGGTTTGTGTTTCCTTTTGTTGTGGAAGGGAGACGGCCATGGGTGTACTCCCTCCTTTTTGGGAGAACACCTATTGTATGTGAGTGAGAGGGCTGGGACTGAGCGGAGGATGCGAGCGATCTGAGGCGAGAACAGCTTGGGGGCGTACTCCTGTCTGTACATGTCTGCATATACATACGTGTGTATGTCATGCGCAGGCGGGAGAATGCCCGCTCTCTCACTCACATTGGTGGTGGACCTGTCTGTCTGTCTGTCTGTCTGTCTCTGTGCCTGCGCCTGGCCGTGTGTGTGAGGGGGTGGGTGTTCGGTCGGTCTTCTTTTTGGGCCTCTGTGTGTGTGTGTGTGTGTGTGTGTTGTTTTGGGCATGGTGGGCGACAAACAAGTGTGTGTGGGTGGGATTAGCTAGACGGCCACCCGAGAGGGAGAGAGAGTCGCAGGCACTCGTACGGACACATACGTACATATCTACACAAGAGGGGCGTACTCCTGTAAGCACATGTCTACGTATGTTCTACGGGAGGACGCCCGCTCCCTCTCTCTCTCACCGTGGTGGGTGGACGTCTGTCGCTACCACTTCCCGCCCACCAGCCCGGCTGGCTGGCTGTCCGTCTGTTTTGGGCTGTCTGTCTGTCTGTCTGGGTGTCCGTCCGTCCGTCTGTCCGTCCGTCCTTGCGCTTCTTCGGTTGGCTGGCTGGCTGGCTGGCTGGCTGTGTGTGTGTGTGTGTGGATGCATATACATACAGATGAGACGCTTCGACAGACCGATCAAGTGCTGCTTGGATGAATATATACAAAACAAAAGAGTCCCCTGCGTGTATGTATGTCATACAGTCATTATTCACACCCACCCACCCATCCGCCGATGATTGAGTGACCACAGACCGTCTCGCTCGACTACACACCACACCCCCTCATGCGGTGCGTTCGTTTCCCCACACACACATGCACGCTCCCACTCGATCTCCTGCCGCCACTCACTCGTCGCCAGAACAGGACATCAAAACTGCCAGTGATGCACGAGGCCACTTAGATACGTCGGCGGCTTTTCACGTCGGGCGTCAGCAGGGTAGAGATGGCCTTGGAGAGGACAGCAACGATCCTCTCGGCGCATGTGGCCTCCAGCTGCGGAACCACTCGTTGCGTGTCGTGATCGGAACCACCAAATAGCTGCCATAGCTGACGCCTCTGTCCTGGCCTCTGTCGCAAATGATGGGGCCGGTGTCTGGTGGCCGGCGGTGCTTGGCATACACTCACTGAACACACTCACTGAACACACTCAAGCGCGGCCTCCCCCGGTCGGAATGGCAGGCCCTCGTCGGTGACGCAGCGAAGATACGTACGTCTGCAGGGCCAACATGTCCGTCCCCACGCGGATCTGGACAAGACAGAAGAGAAGGTTGCAGCAGTCAGGCGCTTGTTGGTACATGAGTCCTCACCTGCATGGGAGTCCCTTGACAGTAGTAATTGATCCGCTGTCTGGCTGCAGGCGCTCATAGTCGTAGATCTCCACAAAGGCGTAATCCTTCCACCGGCGGGATCGTGTTGTCACACACATGGTGGACGCTTCAATGGAAGTTCGCGTCCCTGAAACGCTGCCTGCGGGCTTAGCATGCATGGATGTACGGCGAAACGCACCGCGTTTCACTCACCTTGTCGGTGCCAACAGAGATCATCGACAGATCATGGACAGATTATGGACACATCAAGGTGCAGGATGGGCAGCAGCGCATCTCATGGCAATGGACAGGATGAGTGGATCCCATTCCTTCCGTGAAACTGCTTCCTCACATGTGAGAGAGGGGAGGAAAAAGAAAAGGCGCGTGTTGAGAGTTGGACCAGTGGACGGACGTAGCCGTACGTCCGTACCTGTTGAGAGTTGTCGAAGACTTGACGTTGAATTGTCACATTGATCATTCTCCTCGGGATAGGATGCCCAAGGTAAGGAGGTATGAAAGGGGCAGCAGGACGTGAATGCATGCGGGCATTGACACATGCGTGTGTGTGTGTGTGTGTGTTGGCACTGCAGGATTCGAATTCGAACAAACGCGGTGGCTCAGGGCCGACGGGTCCCTACTCCAAAGCCAAGGTATGCACCGCTGAGAGGGAGAAGCCAGCCAGGCGTCAAAAGAAAGAAACGGGATGGCGGGCAGACAGCAGGGCCATACGGAAGATGCATGTATGCATATCAGGAGCCGCGCAAGTCCCGTTACCAGTTGCGAAGCGGCCGCGGGAGCGATGAGTTTCTGCAGCCGGGCATCGACTCAGAGCGTCAGGCAAGTCGGGTCGCCAAGGAGCTGCGGCAGCAGCTGCAGGAGCAGGCCCAGAAGGAGCTCAAGGAGTTGCAGCAGCTCAACGCCAAGGACCGTGACCTGGCGCTGGGCAATGGGGCAGCCCGGCTCAAGTCCCTATCGCCCGACCTCACCAACCAGGAGATGCAGGACGGCCACATGATGTCCCAGTACCCGTCCCTCAACCTCGCACACGGACAAGGCGTAAGTCAGCGAAAAGAAAGAGGGAGAGGGCGGGTTTAGCATAGAGGGAGAGATGGGTGTGGTCATTCATGTCATGTGGGTGGTGTCTGTCAACTCAACAGGACAAGTATGCCTTGTCTGTGGACTTTCTGAGCAACTGCGGCGACGCCTTCAAGGAGTTGCGCGGCTACGTTGTGGATCGCATCTTGGACGGCTGCAGCCGCATGTGTGTGTGGAAGGAGGCCCTGCCGCTGGCGGTGCGGCTCCTCGACTACTACATACACACACGTGAGTGGAGTGAGGGAGCCATACTGACCACACAAATGACACACCGCACCACAGTCACTCACCGCACATAGCCACACACGTCTGTCTTAATTGGCGGCCTGGTGTGTGTGTGTGTCATTGGTGTCAATCAGTGTGGACCAAGGGAGAGAATTTGTTCCACCACAACCTCGTGGCGGTAAGTACGACCATACACACACCGCACTCACTCACACAACGCACAATCACTCACACACACATAACATATGGGTGTTGTTTATGTGTTGTGTCATCCATCCACTTATTTGCTGCCACCAGGTGGGTTACACGTGTTTGCTGATAGCGTCCAAGTACGAGGAGCGTGAGCCGGTGGTCATCAACGACCTCGTCACACTCATGAACGAGGTGCCCATGGACAAGGGGGACCGCACCTACACTCGCGTCGACTTCCTCAGGATCGAACAGCACATCCTCATGTAAGTCAAGTGGATACACACACATCAAATCCACACACGTGGGAAGAGCCAGCCCTTTGTCCCCGTCTCTCCCATTATTCAACCAACGTATGTGTGTGTTGTGTGTTGTGTGGTGTTTAGGACGACCGGGATGGAGTTGCCGAGCTCAACCTACTGTGCGTTCAGCGACCGGTTCGCCAAGGCCGGCGGCATCCCTCCGGACACTAAGGACCACGCATTCGTGCAGTTCCTCCAGGTGCGGTGCTTAAACACGGTTTACACGCACACAGACAGACAGACAGACAGACGGACATACAGACGGATGGATGGATGGATGGACGGGTCACAGTGGTGTGTGCATCTTACGTACCTGCCATGGGGTCTCTCTCTCTCTGTGTGTGCAGGAGTTGGCGTTGACGGACTACACATTCTCTCAATACAAATCCAACATCATCTCGGTATGTCAGCCCACTTGAGCCGCACACAAGCGACATCCATCCATCCATCCATCCATCCCTTTATCCCTTTGTCAGGCTGCGGCGGTGTACACGACCCGCAAGATGTGGCTGCTCATGGAGGGCCAGCCCCGACACGGAGAGGACAGCTGGGTCAGTGAGTGAGGCGATGGGAGGGGGGCCACACATTAACCGACACACAGTCCTGACACATGTGTGTGTGTGCGGCTGTGCTGTCTACCGTGCCTTCCTCTTTCTTGTGTGTGCAGACGGAGGCGTTGAAGCGTGTGACGGGGCTGCAGAAGTCTCAGCTGATGCCCTGCTACAAGGAGATGAGCAGGCTCCTCCGATCTCTGAACAGGCCGCACATAGCCATCGTACGCAACACCCCACACAACACCTCCAATGACTGAATGAGTTGATGGATGGATGGCCCCACTGCCCCTCTGTGTATGCCCCTCTGTGTGTCCTGTCCTGCAGGGCAAGCAGGACGCCTGCATTGCCAAGTGGTCGACGCCGGCCAACTACAAGTTCGCTTCGGCCTTCTACGACTGATTGCCCCACCCAGAAACACACACACACATACCTCCACACGATGTGAGTGAGCCAACGCCCCCAGCCAACACTGTCTTGTGTTGTGTTGTGTTGGTGTGCAGATGGATGCGATCGATGCATACGGGTAGCTAAGCTGCCAACGTAACGTCCGTCGGCCTGGCTGTCTGTCTGTCCGTCTGTCTGTCTGGCTGGCTGTCTGTCTGTGAGAGTGAGATGCAATGGAATGAAATGTTGGCGCGAAAGTGCTCGTCTGTCTGTCTGTCTGAGTGGCTGGCTGGTTGGCTGATTCTTCCCCCATCCCCACAGCCCACCCGCCCCCGTGACCAACTCACACCAACCACACGGAAAGAGAAACACAGAGAGGGGCTGGGAGGGGGGAATGGAGGCTCGTCCTTCTGCCTGCCTGCATGTATGTCTGTATGGCGTGCAAATGTCTGTCTGTCTGCCTGCCGGGCAAATGACTCACCGCCGCCACCCATCCATCCATCCATCCAGGACCGACCCACTGTAGCCACAAGATGACACGACCCTCTCTCTCTCTCTCTGTGCCTGTTTGTTTTGACCTCCCACGACAGGCAGGCACCCACACACGCAAAGCCAGGCAGACACAACACACAGGAGGGCGGGAGGCAGGAAGGAGTGAGTGGAGGAGTAGCTGACTGAATTCATGCCACCCAGCGAGTGGACTGGACGGAGGGGCCGGCAGGGCCCTCCCTGCAGGAAAGACAAGGAAAAGACAGCAAAGGGACGAATATATGTGGCGGCAGACTGCATGCGGGTTCTCGGTCATTCAGCGGCTCACGAGAAGCGCACCCAATCGCGTGGCATCGTGAGCTGCCCGATCGACGAACAAGCACCCACCTCACTCATCTCTCTGTGTTACTCTCGCCCTCCCTCCCTCTTTCTGCCTGCCTGCCTGCCTGCCTGCCTGCC